ACGCAGCACGACCCCCGCCCCCCGAACTCAGCATCGCTCCCCACACACATCACGACACGGCCCCCTCCTCTCCAGCCCCCGTCCCTGCCCAGCACACCGCATGCATCATCTCGTATGCACCGCCTTCAGCACATACCACCACACACAGAAAACACCCCAGTCCACAGCGTCTCCGCGCACCATACACAGGCCCAGGACACAACCCACACCCCTTCCCGTGGGACTCCTCCGGTATTCAGCGCTACTTGCCACGCGCAAAATGCACATGGGAGGTGCACCACACGGTCTTTCCCATGCAGCACCTCTTGTGTGGTACACACAATCATCTGGCATAACCCTTCCCCCAGCCTCAAACACGACCATCTATGCCGCAACACTAACTGCCGCTCTAGACACACAGGTCACAGTGGACCTTTCGCCTTCCAGCACAGCCAGCACCCATCATCTTTTGTGCACATTGCTGTACGTTTCAGACACAGCCCGCCACACGTCACACGGTGCACACCCTGTCCTGTTCATCACCTAATGTACACGCTGAAATGAGAGATTGTCAGGCAGTTGTAATGGGGCCTGGTGCATAGTAAACGCTGTGGAAGTGTTCCACAAATAAAACACATAAATCTCACAGTATAACACAACTCTCCTAATCCCCCTGAAAACATTCACACACACACATACAAACACATGCTCAAAGCACCTCTAATATGTATATACTTACCATAGGAGCCACCCAGCCCGACTCATGTAACTCTACCTCACTGAACACGTCGTGGCCTCTCATCCCCAACCCAGTGAATGAGTTCATCCCTGGTTCATAACAACACATGCACCATGGTTCCTACTTACAAGGGTTTATATTTTCTGAATGAACCTCTTTAAAGAAAGGAAAGGAATGCCTTCCACACCGTTATGGCCTAAAAGACCAACCCAGAGAAGTGTAGTTTTGGAGCCAGACTGTTGTTTCAAAACTAGCTGTGTGTCCTTGGTTATGTTACTTAACCTTTCTCAGAGTCTCAGAATCCACACCTGTAAAATTGGGATAAAATATGTACTTACCTCATATAGAGTTATGAAGATTAAATGAATATGTGTGAATGCACTTAGCAGAGTACCTGGTGCCCGTTGCACAATAAATGTCAGTTACTTCTCTCCCAATATTTTTATCCAGCTATCAATGGTTCTCAGCCAGGTCAGCAGCAAATGTAGAGGAGTATATTCAGTGGTCACAGGCATTGGGGGAACTTCTGGCATTTAGTGGGTGGGAGTTAAGGATGCTAAATGTATTTCAACGCATAGGACAGCATTGTACAACAAAGAATGAATTGTTATCTACATACACACACATTCACACACACACACATACACACACACGTGAGTGCCACTGGTGCCTCCCTTGGGAATCATTGCAGTTTTCAGATTTTCATAAAACTAATAATATCCTCCCACCACACTTGTTTGTTCCTTACCTCCATAATTCATTCGACTCTTGGTTCTTATTTTGTAAGTGTTTATCTATTTGCATGAATCTCCCTAAAGCTAAATAGCATAGATAACAATTACTTACTCTTAATGATTGAGGGATACCGCTACTATTGTTGTAAAGTCTTCTGCTGATGCTGTGCAGTGGGATAAGACCCTTCCACAGTATCCAACCAAGAACGTATTTCTGGCTTTGGAGAGAAATCAGTCTTGTCCCTAATTATGGTTATCCTCAAATACTTCATCATGTCATCTGATTTTACCACTTAATAGCTGTGTGGCCACTTAATTTTGCTAAGCCTCAGTTTCTTTATCTGTATGTAAGATGAAAATATCTAGTAATACCTCATAGGATTGTCTGTCATGAGGGTTCAGTTAATTTTTTTAGATAATCTGTGTTTAGCTTAGTGCATGACAAATGGTAAGTGCTCAGTAAACATTGGCTGTTATTATTACATCATTTCGTTGTATACTAATGCCTTCTAAATTATGTTTGGCATTAAATGAGGATGTAGTGTGCTCTATAATTGAGAAATAGCAAAGACTTTGGAAAAATGAACATTGCTTTGCTTGGATAACATACATGCCTGTTTCATCTTAACTTTAGTTTAACTTCATCTCATGTGTGGGTTGGTAATAGTGGAATTAGTGTAGAAGTTTCTTTTGAAATTAGAAAAGTAATTATGATATTTTATTTTAAATAATGAGAAGCAAGAATGAGCAGTATGTTTTAATCTTTTGTCTTTACTATTATTTCAGGCCCTTTCAGAATAGATCTCTCTTCCTCTTTTCTTATACAGAAAGTTACGTTCTTTTGGAATTTCCCTTTTACAGCATATTCTGCCAAAGCAGTTGACAAATTGCAGCAGTGAAAGTATAAGAAACGAATTTGAATTTTAACAGCTTGTCAAAAGTAATAGAAAGGCATAATCTAAACTTCAGACTATGGCCTTTTCCAAAAATGATAATAATTTTATTTCTTCCACTAATTTCATAAAGAGACAGAAATCACATATCGAAGAACTAATTAATAACAAGCTTCACCTTATATAAAATCACAATCATCACTAATACAGTTAGTATTTACTATATCATACTCATTTTTTGTAATGATTTGTGACCCTTTAAAGTGAGATACTACAGTGATAGCTCTATCTTCCTCCATAAAGATTGAGAGTAATGACTTCTTAAATGAAAATTATTCATTCTGTGCTCTTTTGTAATGATTATCTCCAGCACCTTATACTTATAGCAGGATTTTAGTTGGGTGACTGTGCAGTGCAATTCTTTCAGTAAAACTTTAAAAATGTATCTTAAAGTTTGTTTTTCAAAGACTAGTAGTCTAAGAGAACAGGAGATAGAATACCTTGGGGGTGTCATATTACCAGTACGTGAGAAACAGTACCTGGGTCATGTCACATGCTGCAGAGACACAGCAAGAATTTAGGATTGTGGAGGATTAGGTACATTGCACAGCAGTCTGGGACAAGTTGGGATTTGTCAAATGGTTCTTTTGTTAAATAGCAACTAGGCCAACTCAATGTTAAATCATAGCATTTAAATCTCCTGGCCTTTTGCTGTCGTTAAAAATAAAGCCAGATGCTATCGAATCATTTTCTCCAAGATTTGAAAAATCTCATTTTGCCACATTTTACAATAAGCATTTTGTAAATTAATTGCTTTGGCCTATGTCTTATAAGTTTGTTCAGCCAAAGTGGGGCAAGGAGAAGCTTTATTTTAAGCTCAAAGTACAATAATTACTGAGGGGCCTCATACTTACTCTGCTTTCAGAGGTTGGTAAACTTGGAAATATTGAATGGCCTTAGTTTTAAAAACTCAAGCTGTAGATTTGAAAACACCAGAACCTACTAAATCACATTCATAGGAGCCAACCCTCTCCTTAAGAGGCACCTGGCAATAAAACAGTGGACTCAGCCTCTCCAGTAGCACTGGTCCAACACACTTTGTCACTTACCTATAAGAGACTGGCCTCCTGCAGCTTGCTGTCCCTAAGTGATTATCAACTTGTCTGTGCTAGGTTTCTCCTTCATGTGGCACTAAGGAGATAGACGAGGGCAGGGAAATGGACAGATTTTTGATTTATCTATTGTTATCTACTTGTTAATAATGGTTTTTACTTCAATTCCCCTGGTGACTTTGGAGTTCCAGTTCATCATCACATCATTGAGCCACAGTTGTGCCTTCTGTGTCATTTCCCCCATGGGTACCTGCCAACCTTCCCTGTTCTTTCCCTTTAGACCATATAAATCCCATTAGAAAACATTTCCTGATAGTGCTGATTCAGTCGTCTCGGTCATGTTTCCTTTATCTACATCATGTTCTTTCTTTCCCAATAACAGAAGGCCTGGATGTCCTTGTTCCCTGACACTGACTATATTAAATGATCGTCCATAGTGGCTGTGTACTGGGGTTAAACCAACTCCAGAGGTGAACACCATGTTAGGTGGTGCCTCTAAAGAGGTCCAGTTAACAGTGATCTTAACATTTGTCTTCTCCACTTCCTATTTAAATCATATTTTTTATTGGATTTAAATAAATATCTTTCTGTATCCTCTCTTATACTTATTTCTGGTGTTTTATCTCCCTAATAAGATTATAAACTTATTGAAGGGGCAGATGTGCCATGTATTTCTTTGGGGTCTTCTGTAGTAAGTAGGTACCTGGGTGACTTCAGATATTTATTTACTTTAGATGATGCTTTACCTCAGAGAGATTACATGCCTAGAAATTGCTGCCTGGTGTTTGGCAGTTTAGATATAATTCTGTTACCAATGGTAATACAATTTATCTTGTGATATAATCCCTGTAGCCCCAGATTTCTGTAGGGAAGTTAGCAGTTTTTCAGTCTCACGAATCCAGAAACCAGGACTCGTCCAGTCAGCTGGGACCACTTCCTGAGCCCTCAGCCCCGTCAACCCTTTAATTCAGTTCAACAATTCAACAGTCCATGTTCTATCCAGCCCCAGTCCCTGCAAACCTAGTTTATATCTT